CATAACAAACGAGGAAAGAACAAAACCTAAAACTTCAATCAGAGATAACCATCATGATGAATGTCATCCACTTTCTTCAGTGACCCAGATGTTTTCATCCAGCTCTGAAGTTGGAATTTGAAGTCAGGTTCATCGAGAGCCACCGTCGTTGAAAACTCTGGCTTGCTAACTCATTCTTGCTTCATAGTACAAGATTCTGATCAGATATGTAAAGTATTTTGCTTAATTTAGTTGTTTTTTTTTTGTACCCTATTAGGTGCTTTTAAACGGTGTCAGGAGGCGATCTGAAGAAATGCTCTATTAGCTCTGTTGATTTTGGTTTCAGCCTTTAGCTGTTTTCGATGGCGTCTGAAGGAACTGAACTTCCAGCATGCTACTGCTGTATGATCGGGTGCATTTTACATGAGATCTTTTCACATCCACACAACCTTTTCTTGCTCTAACAGCTTGTAAAAGCTCAATCCAGGAGCGGCGTTCCGAAGGTGTGGAATTTTTTACTGCCGTCCTTTTCCAACATCGGCGCATAGGCGGCTGTGCCCAACAATTTCTGTAATTTTCCAAAACTAACAATCTGAAATTCACGCCCAGCAAGACACAGTAGAGTTTTTCCCCCCATCACATACTTTGGCTCGTCTCAGCAGGAAAAGCACAGGTGAAATTATAGCAATAACAGCGACGCCGTTGTATTTAGAATCCTGGTAAACCACAACAGTGAGCCAACATGCATGAAACTTTTAACAAGGTGTGTGGAGGAAGAAAAGTAAGCAAGCAGCTGTCCATAGTTATCCCTTTTTCTTATTGATTTTTGTACATTTACCATCTGTATGACGGCAGGCTTTTATTGGCTATTCATAGCTAAAGTGGGTTAGTCAATCATCATCAGCGATTTTCCTGTTTATGGAATAGGAACTCACCTGTAGAAGCCCAGGTGCCACTTGCCGACCATGTGCGTGGCGTATCCAGCCTCGCGGAGCCTCTCGGGCAGAGTGTCCATGTGCGAGGGCAAACAGCTGGGCTGGCTGGGTCTGATAATGGAGTGCTGTAATCCTGTGTGGATCTGATATCTGTAAGACAGAAAAGAATCTGTTGCTGGCTGCACAAGACGAGCTGCTCGCACAGAATCCGCTGTTAGACCGCCGCGGTGCAACCACCGACTCATTAATCCTCCTAATCAATAACCTGATTATTCAGAGCAGCTGCCTCATTTTAACCAGCACCTCGGACTCAGTAACTCTCTGCTCACTGGTCAGTTTCCACATCTGTTGGATGATTATTTTCTCTTCTTGTGCTTCTCTAATATGTAAATCCACCCACTAAGGATCAATAAAATCCTAATGAGGTATTGAAAAATGGCTAGAAACTTACTATACAGATTTCAGAGCACATCAATATGACCATGACTGTAAAAAAAAAAAGAAAAGAAAAGTGCAGCAAAAGAAAGAACTGCTTGTTGATTTTTACAAAATCTGAGATAAAAATATGATTTGGAGACAGAAATTGTACAAACACATTGAACAAAGGGACTACTACTGAAATTAAATCAATCACAGATCATTAGAAATGCACTGAAGAGCAGAAACAGAAGAATAACTCACATCGTTGTATCAGAACATTACTGATAAACCTTAAAATAAAAATATAGACGACAACAAGGAAACATGGTGTAACTGGTAAGACACATTAAACTGCATCTACCAACCACCGGTACTCGATGTCAGACATGTTGGGAGATAACGTAGATCATCTGATGCTCATCACATGGAAGTTGTTTGGTACTTGGAAAAATATATGTAAAGGAAGTCAACAGATATTTGGTGAAAATATGATTAACAACAAGTCAAATAGGAACGACAGCACTGCCAACAAAGGATTATTGGCCAAAACAAATTAGTGAAAAAAAAGCTTCTTAAAGGAAAATCTGATGCATCCTGAAATTACAAGAAGCACAACTGGAAGAAAATCATTTTTAAAAATGGACATTATGCAAGAATCAGAGTGGTGATATGAGAACAGAGCTGCAAATAAACCCATTAACAAATGATGGGGAAGAAAAAGTGGACGAATTTCAGCAGTTTTTTTGTTGTTGTTAAATGTTGAAAATCTTTCGCCACAAATCTTTAAGTAGGGAAAAAAAAATACTTGAAGCAATAAAACTAAACTAAAATGAGACCAGATGGTGTGAATTAATGCTAAAACTATTTGCCAGCGAATCAAATACTTGACAATTTGAAAGACTGGCAAGAAATTTAAATCATTTTATGAGCAAAAGCACCAAACATGGAGTGGTTGCAGCCTGTCTGCTTGTCCAACATGTCACTGTGGGCTGTAGAGACTGTGATGCTTATTTGCATCTATTTTCTAACGTTTTGTGGAATAAATTATCTACAAATATCCAACATAAAACATGAAAACAACCATCAGTTGTTGCTAAGAAAGCATCTTATGGATATTCAGCTCCACACCGAAGGAAGAATGTTCAGTGACGCTTAAAATTAGATTCTTCCTGCATTCACTCAAATAAGTGGAAAATAGTTGAGTGGATGTATGTGGAGCAGCCAAAGTAGTTCCTCCAAAAGTGCAGCAAATATTGTTCAGTTTCGTCTAAAACATTAAAGCAAACAGGACGGCCTGCCCAGATGTAAGGCAGGAGGCCAGTAGAGAGGCGTCTGTACCTGCCGGTGATGAGCTGGCTGCGAGACGGAGTGCAGATGGGCTGAACGTAGTAGTTTTCCAGTTTAACCCCTTCTGCTGCCAGTTTGTCCAGAGTGGGAGTCTTGATGGTCGGGTTGTGGTAGCCGATGTCGTTGAAACCCTGTTCATGGAGGCATCAAAGAGTTTTTAACCTTCCTGCACGTTTGAGCCATTTTCAGCTCTACGTAGGAAATAAATAAAGACAGCACCGAAGAAAACGTCCCTGATTTAAATTTGGTCGACGCCCCTTTTGAAGTAGTTTCCTTGTGCAGCGACGCACTGCTCCCAGTGCTCCTGCCACATTTGAAACGCCACCTGCAGGTCCTGTTGTGTAAGTGCATCGAGCACCATCTCTTATGGTGATCCTTCAACTTGAATTTTATTTTGACAACAAGGAAGAAGGAGCGAATTCTGCTGAGTAAGGCGAGTGGAGAATGTCTATTGGAGCAGCCAAAAAACATTTAGTTGTTTTCACTGAATCTTCTTCCTCAGACGTTACAGAGTTACAGGAAAACTCTGCGTTGACAGTTTGACCCTCGCAGACGGTTTCACCATGCACGACCTCGATAATGTCTCTCCCACTAAGCCCCGACTGTTGGTCTCTCGGTTGTAGCCGTGGATCCAACTCTCATCACTAGTGCTGGCCTTTGACATGAGGGTTTGGTCAGTTTGAGACATAACTTGATGTTTTCTCTCTTGACAAGTTTAAGCTCCATGGTAAACACCTGCAGGTCGTCAGAACAGGACGTCAAAAGGGTTTTAAATGTGGCAGGAGCAGAGTGACGCAGCATAAAAGGACACCTCTGAACAGGATTACAGCTAAAGTTAAGATGTTTTTGCTTTTTACAGCCACGATCTTCATCACAGCTCATGTATGTTGATGTTGGTTGGTGACTCCATCTCCAACCACCAGGCGGATCGTCCTTCTTCTGAGATAACAGATGCTGTTAAAGGTCAAGATGACCATGTGCAGATATGTTGCTGCTCTGTGAGTGCTTCTAGCTTGTGCAATCTTTTGGTTTGTACCTTCTTACGGCACATTTGGTTCATTACATGTGACAAGGAAACAAACTGATAACATTGCAAAAGCTTCACTGTCTTTGTTTCATAGTAGTGAGCAGTTCATATTCTGGATTCTGGCGTCCGGTACTAACGAGTGAGTAATCGGTCTGTGATGTCCATATTCGTGCAGTGGATACTCTGTCTTTTAAAATTAAAATTCACATTTAAATCAGCCACGCTAAGCGATCACACACCGACGCTTGCTGTGCTGCTTTACTATGAGCAGATGTCTGAATCAGTTTGCACAGAGCGGATGTTTGTGTGGGAGACTTCAATTTGTTTAACTGCTGATAAACAGGATTTTCAACTACTTTTTTTAAAGTTATTTTTTTGGCCTTTATGCCTTTATTTGATAGGACAGTGGGAGAGAGACAGGAAAGTGGGGAGAAGAGTAGGGGGAGGACATGTGCGGGAAAGGGTCATGAGCGGGACTCGAACCCATGACCTCCGCATCGGGACTGTAGCCCTGTACATGGGACGCCAGCTCTACCAGGTGAGCTATAGCGGCGCAACTACTTTTAACTTGGCCTGCTTTTTTCTAATTTCACGCCACTTACAAAGGACTTTGGGACACCGTGATATGAATATTATCTCTAACTGCAGAACGTGTAGCGTGAATGTAAATATGACGGCATGTGTTGAGTCTCTGCATCTTAGCAAAACCGACTTTCACACACACCTGATCGTCTGTGAGGATGAATATGATGTGCGGCTGGTTCTTCTTCTCCTGAGCTGCCTCCTCATTCTGAGTGTTTCTGTCGTTCTGCTGCTGCATCTGGTTTGGTTGGGACTGATGAGCGAGCAGGCCGTCCAGGCTGAGGAAGACGCTCAGCGCAGTCAGAGCCACGGCAGCAGCAGCAGCAGCAGCCTGCATCGTTACAGCAGGAGCCCTGCAGGGAGCAAGATACGAAAAAGAAAAATTAAAAATCACGACAATGCAGCGACAACTTCTATGAACAAAACACCAGGGAAGCGAGGCTCAGAAATGTGTGAGTCGGCACAAATTCACACAAGCGTGCCATCGCTGGAGGACCGAGCGTAGATCATAAAACCACATTTGAGACGGACTTGCCAACTTGGCTGTAACTGAGATCTGAAACGCATCCATCTGGTGGAGAGAGAGCTAAAACTCAGAGGAGGGCTTTTTAACCATTTACAATCTTTGGAATTGAGTAACAGAAATAAAAGGTGATGAAAATGTTAATGTTGCCTGAGAGAAGAAACAGGGCAGCAGCAGCGTGCGGGACGAGGACTTCACTCATTATTCTTTTATCGCTGGCTGTTGGGTTTCATGGAGCCGCTTACGTTTTAGCGCGCAGGACTGTGCAGCGTGAATAAAATCATCTGTTACTGGATGTGTCATTTGATTCACAGATGGACTGATGTTGTCCTTGTGCAACTTCACTAACATGCTACAGTTAAATCATCTCACACTAACTGTATTGTTTTAAAGGACAAATTGAAAGCAGCTCACTCCGCCCTTCGTTTGTGAGCTTCCATTCTTTTATTTTTCTGTATGTTTTCCTTTATATCTGATGACAGATTTGATCTTTCTGGGCATCTGTGGCATCACCTCGAGGCTTCCTGCAGAGCAGTTTTGAAGCTTTTATCGCCCATTTTTGGATTATAAGTTGGAGCACGGACAGACCCGTGACACGGTTGATTATACAAACCCTGAAGCTTTAATAGAGCTGAAATGGGTGATTCAAATAAAGATTCAACCTATTGTTTGTGATCAACAGGTTTCTGTTCTGCTGTAAAGTTGGACATTTTGACACGGAGGCTTTAAGAGCTGCAGTTTTTGGCACAACAGTATTTGCCGTTTGGATGATGCCAGTCCTGCTCTGGTATTCTGTTGAGAAAATTTCTGACATTTCTTTTATTTTTTTACAGTTTCTATCAGCTCCTCTTTGCCGGAGGGGCTCTGCTGCTCTATTTTACACTTTCAAATGCGCCCAAGGTTGGATTCAGCTCAGGGGTCAAGCTTTGTCAGGCTGCAGTTTTTTTTCACTTTTTCTTTCTCGCACGGCTGTTGCAGTGTGTTCAGGATCTTTGTCATATTGGAAAACTCCTCTCCTGCCAAGCGTCTGCAGACTGGGAGTCATCATTCTATTCATTCACGGTCATTTCTATAAATGTCATCTCCTACACACCTTTTTGCCTTTTGTCACTGCGCTCGTCCCGGCCAAGTCCGCGCCCGACGCGTTGGATCTCATCTGATCCAAACCGATGGATTTTTATTACATCTGACCGAAGAATGTGCTGCCAGGATTCGTCGGGCTTCTTTTCATGTTGTCTTGCACAGATTAGTCTTGCAGGTGCAGCTCTGACTGCTGCTTTTGTACATTCTCACATCTTTGTGCAGCATCACTGTCTGCTTTCTTACTTGTTCAGATAATTCTTTGCCTTGTTCATGCAAGTTTGCCTTATTTGGGAGCTCACACGTGTCTTGTTGTATTTTGTGACCTGCATTTTCCCTGTAGTCTGTGTAACCTGTGTGTTTTTAACTACACAATATAACATCCATGCTTACACGTATACAACATCAAGCAATAATGTAGTTATTCTACGATGGCACATTTAACATTTTAGAGATATTGCACACAAATGTTTTGTTGTATTCTGTACACATCAAATACAATTTTCAACTCACTTACTGCCAAAACAAGTGATTAAACTCGGTACATATTTAAGTTAAGTTCGATTATTAAGACTTTTTGTTCAGACTTGCCCCATTTCTTTCGTCATGGCAGTTTGCAATGATGCTGAGCTTAAACTGACACCATTGATTTATCTTTTTTTCAGTTAAACAACTTATTTAATTCAAGTGAAACATCAACCCTTACAGCCCCCGGTGAGCGCCCAAAAAGCACCGACACGACACAGATGTTCAGTTTACAGTGATGTTAAACAGAGAAAATCGTCTTTTCATTGCCTCGGCCTGTGTTTTCTGTATCTGCAGCTCAGTGTGAAGGAACCAGGAGTCAGCAGATCGTCTGTATCTGTGTCATCTATGACATGTTTATAAACCTCAAAGCCCAAAGCAGCACATAGTGTTGATTTCATATGTTGAGCCTGATGAGAAGCAGCTGCCTCACAGTGAATGGAGACCACGCTGGACTGGTTACACTGGGAACACTTCTCCCTCTGTGTGTGTGTGTGTGTGTGTGTGTGTGTGTGTTGTACATGATCTCTTTCCTGTCACAGCCTTGAGTGTGTTAGTTCAGACTGTTCAAGCACTGACTAGTCTTGCATAGAATTTGTTGTAATAAAGTCTGCAGCCTGCATCCAGTCCTGCTGAGACACGGAGTCCATCAGTGACATTAACAACACCACCATGACACTGGCATCACAGCTCATCCAGCAGCTACCTTCAAAATGAGCCCGTTTCTAATTGAACACTCATCCATTACTCACATCAGCAGCGTGATTTCAAAGCCAGGCCTAAAATCAATACCTCGATAAAGGATCAATGGGAGTGAACGGCTCTTGTCCGCCGCCTCGCCGCTTTTCCTCTCCGCCTCGCTTCAGTTCATTCTTCACACCTCGGCTCCTTCTTCGGCTCGGAGAAAGTTTGGTTTGCGGAAAGTTTGCAGAAGACGCCGCATGTCCTCAAGTTTCCACAAACCCTTCCTTCCTTCACTGAGAGCGTCCTCACCGCCGATGAAATACGAGCGAAGTCAAGCTGCCCGCAAACACGCTCACGGCACCGGCGCGACCGGTCAAATAAAACACCGGCGACTCAAGATGTGGCCGCTTAGTATTAAATGGACATCAAAAACCAACAGGATGTGCTGCATTTTAAATTGTGTGGCTATAAATGAACACTTTCCCCTCCGAAAACACAACGTTTTAACAACAAAAATGCGTCCTAGCTTATACATTTAGCAGTTACAAATCTCAAATTAGCTAACTGCTAGCTAACTGTTAATGCTAGTGCTAGTCAGTGCTAAATCAAATGTTAGCCACTATAATATTATATTTATTATTGAGATATTATTGTAAATATGATGTAATTAAATGTTCCTCAAAAGAGAGTACAATCAAGCATTATTAATCTTTCTTTTCTTACGTCAATATGCAAAGTAATTAAACATCACTTCTTGTCTACTAGCATATATTTTTGGTAGCTCCAGTTTTTCTCCAAAAATATATTTTTCTGGCATTTTGCCTGTATAAGATGTTTGTAAGTCTCAAAATAGTTTACTTTTTATTTATTTAAAAACAAACAGAGAGAGATGTTTATTGATGGCTGGATTCAGCTTACGGCTAAAGTTAGCTAGTATGCTTGTTGGCTAAAGGAGGCTAACATTCACACAAATGTGGCTAGCTAAATGCAAGCTAGCAACCATGTAAAACCTTAGCTAGCCTTTGCTAACTGACTAATTTCTAAAAAGAAAGTATCAATTTTCTTCATTACTAGAAAAACAAAGTCATCATTAGTTATCTTATATGCTAATATCTCTGAGGATGAAAATAATGTAAAAACATTCATTAATGTCATAAAAGACCAAACTACTTTTGTTTTATTTTTCCTGTCTGAAGCAGCTTTAATTTGAAGGTCGAACTGCTTCACATCCTCTATTTTTTCAGCTCATTTCTGCAACTTCACGCAGGGAAGCCTGTATTAAAACCCCGACACTGTTCCTCCGCCTGCTCCAAGTTGCTTTAATGTGTTTCTTGTATGTTGTGGCTCCTGTCACGGCTCCAGGTTCTCCCGACTTGCGGCTGCGGGAACACGGACAGGACGTGAGCCGAGCGGCGGGGCAGCAGGCTGGACCGAACCGGGCGGACCGAGCGGCCAGCTGGCACTCCGGAGGGAAGCAGGAATCTGTTCTCTTCAAGGCAGCACACTGTACAGATGCAACACAGCATCAGCTCGTCCATAAATAATCAGGCTGAGCTGAGAAATGGGTGGAAATTAATCAGGAAACAGCGCATCCGGTTATTGGAAATGCACTTTGCTCCAGTAATAAGGAAGAGATTAAGAAGAGTCAACAAACATGAAACACTCACAGCAGTTTAATCAGAAATGTTTGTACAAATACACACGAGCAAATTAGACAGAAAAACACCAAAATATGTGGAAATATGAGAACAAACATGTGGAATATATGAATAACTGGTATCAGAAAGTCATGCAGTCTGTGCAAATCAATCCAATCAATTATACAACATGTCTATTCATACATACAGATTAAATAAAATACACAATAAATAAAATGAACTCTATAAAGATTTTGGCACCGACCACAATGTGTCCATAAAATCAGGCGTTTCAATTTGATCCAATATTTGCTGATTAACATCTGAATTTTCCAGTTTTGTTCCTATCTGGTCCTATTGTCATTTGAAAAGTTTGGCTTTTTAGATTATTTTTCAAACAAATACAAGAGTTTTGGTGAAGACATTGTTGATATTCTTCTCCTAAGTGAAACCCTGTTATATGTACTTAGTCATCTGTCCTATTAAAGCATAGTTAGGGATTAACTCGGACATGAACATTTAGTAATGAAGAGAAATGCATTGATCCGTTTTGCTTTTCTGGCAGCTCTGGCATCCTGCAAAGGCTTTCACAGCTCACAAAGTGCTGTGCAAGAGAACAAAATAAATACAAGTATTAAAGCGCCCAAGTGTGCTTCTTTTTCTTTTTCTTTTTCTTTTTTATCTCCAGACATGTTGCAGCTGTTTCATCAGACTCGTCTTTTCTTTCACAAGTCCTGCCGTCCCTCATGCTGTGACAGTAACACATAAGTGGATGACTGACAGTGTTGATTTGAGATACCGTAAATGAGGCAGAAAGAATGTAGGAAAACTCTTCTTTTTTTTAAACTTTTTTTTCTGCTCTGTGTTATTTATCCAACAGTTTGTCTCGGTCCAGACACCCCGGACTGCAGTGGGACCCTCTGTTGGAGAGCCTCTGTGGCCGGCGTTGCGTCCCACGCCAAGTTTCCAACAAACAAAGCGGTGAAGGAGGCTGTGTGTGATTTATTGAGGCCTGACTCGCTGGCAGTGAGCAAAACATGCAAGAATGTTGCCACACATTGTTGTGGCTCCTTCGGTTGCTCACCCGGACTTAAATCGCACAATGTCAGCCCTTAATTTTCTCCACTTAAATAATATTAATGCTTCATTTAAATGCAAAGGCTTTAAGAATTTATGGATATTATTATGGGTTTCAGAGGAATTTATTCATGGGGGTTATGGAAGCCCATTGCTGCCATTATGAGTTATGAATGATGATAAATGGAAATGCATGAAATGAAGTGAAGAAGGTGTTGTCGTCTCTCATAATTAGCTTTAACTCTTTGAAACAGTGAGAAACCACATGAAGTAAACGTAAAAACTTCTTTATTTGGAGAATTTTTTTTCAAGTTTTGCTGTTTCTGTCTTTGTTTTCTGATGTGAAACTTTACGTATTAAAATATGTCATGGAAGCACAGCTGCAAAATCTAAATTCTGACCTTCTAAGTCCAAATTATGATGTTCAAGATGTAAGTCAAAATTTTAAATCATGGGATGCACATTTTGATTGAAAACTTTTAGGTTTAACTTGCTTACTCACTTCATATCGAAGTGAGTTAGTAGCTAGCTTACCTCAGAGCCACTGAATCAAAGTAAAGGCTTATCAATGAAAAATTCATGTCAAAATTATTAGAGACCAGTTTGTGCTTTTTTGGACAGAGAGTCAAAATGTTGAATTAGAAAGACCAATTTTGCCACGGTTTTGACTTATAAGTCCAAAAAATAGTCAAAATT